GGGAGGGCGGGTGCAGGAGGCTGCGGAGCCCCCCGAGGGCCTGTCCCGACGCCCGCGCGGGAGGCTTGGTGCTGGAGGCGTCAGACACGCGGGGCAGGGGGCAAAGTGCGTCGGTCAGGGTGGGCTCCGCGGGGAACCCCACGGCGGGGGGGCGGGGCCTGGAGCGCCGCGGGGCCGTGGGTGTGAGCAAGGCCAGGAGGGCAAAGGTGTACCACCAACAAGGCAGGGCCAGAAAATGGTTGTAGTTTGATAAAAGGAAGCTAAATCCACTGTTTTTTGAACAGAAGGGGCAAAGCGGACCTTTAAGGTGGAGAAAGAAAGACCCACATATAATCGATGAAGCTTATCCCACGTTCTCCTAGCAGCCTCGAATGTAGCATCTGTTCTGAAGACCTGTTCTGTTGAAGGACCAAGGTGGTTCATGAGGCTGGGGTTCTGGACGATCTCCGTGGTGCCTCAAGACATAGAAACTCATCATTGCTATGAAGGGCATGTTTTTTTATAGAGTGGTTCCCCTGGTATGTCAAGTACCCATCTGGCCCCATACCTGTAGTCGTTAGGGGGTTATTGATTATATTCCCTGTGCTGTACTTTACATCCCTGTGACTATTCTGTAACTACCAATTTGTACTTCGTAATGCCTTCACTTTTTTCGCCCAGTCCACCAACCCCCTTCCTTCTGTCAATTGTCAGTCTGTTCTCTGTGTCTATGAGTCTATTTCTATTTCATGCGTTCATTTGTTTTGTTCTTTAGATTCCCCATAGAAGTGAAATTATAGGGTATTTGTCTTTCACTGTCTGACTTATTTTACTTAACATAATACCCTCTAGGTCCATCCATGCTGTTGGGGAAGTTAAGATTTCATTCTTTTTCGTGGCTGAGTAGTATTCCATTTTGTATATATGTACCACCGCTTTTTTGTACACTCATCTATTGATGGGCATGTGGGTTGCATCTATATTTTGGCTATTGTACGTAATGCTGCAATGAGCGATGGGGTGCATATATTCTTTCGAATTAGTGTTTTGGGATTTCTGCGGATATATTCCCAGAAGTGGAATCGCTGGGTCATAAGGAAGCTCCATTTTTAGTTTTTTCAGGTAACTCCATACTGCTTTCCACAGTGGCTGCACCAGCCTGCATTCCCACCAGCAGTGCACTAGGTTCCCTTTTCCCCAGCACTTTGTTGTTTGTTGATTTGGTGATGAAGCCATTCTCACAGGTGTGAGGCATCTCATTGTAGTTTTGATTTGCATCTCTCTGATGATTGGTGATGTTGAGCAACTTTTCATTTGTCTATCGGCCATCTGTATGTGTTCTTTGAAGAAATACCTATTCAGGTCCTCTGCCCACTTTTTAATGGGGTTGCTTGTTTTTCTGGTGTTAAGTTGTGAGTTTGTTTGTTTTTTTAAGATTTTTTTTAATCCTTACCCAAGGATATGGGGTTTTTTTAATTGATTTTTAGAGTGAGAGGAGGGAGGAAAGGAGAGAGAAACATCCATCAGTTGCCTCCCGTATGCACCCTGACTGGGAATCGAACCCACAACCTTTTGGGGTACAGGGCAATGCTCCAACCAATGGCCAGGGCAAGTTGCGAGTTCTTTATAATTTTTTTTACTCTTAACCACTTATTGGATGTATCATTGGCAAATACCTTCTTCCATTCAGTAGGTTGTCTTCTCATTTTGTTAATGGTTTCCTTTGCTGTGCAAAAACTCTTTAGTTTAATGTAGTCCCTTTTGTTTTGCTTGCCCAGGAGGATATGTCAGAAAAAATACTGCTAAGAGAAATGTCCAAGCTTTTATTGCCTATGTTTTCTTCTGGGAGTTTTATGGTTTCAGGTCTTACATT